GGAGGGGGAGGAGGAGGAGGAGGAAGAAGAGAAGGTGGAAGAAGAAGAGGAAGAGGAGGAAGAGGAGGAAGAAGAGAAGGAGGATGAAGAGAGGGAGAAGGAGGAAGAGGAGGAGAAGATGGACAGAGAGAAGAGGCTTATATGAATTGACGCGCTGGTGGTGGCATGTACGGTGGACGTCTGTATGGGCTGATTCGTCATGCCACTCCTCAACAGGTGAGCAAACGTATTACCACTGCCGAGGACGGCACCGGAAACGGGTTCGGAAGTGGCCGAGTTCAAGCCTTCAAGGGGCTACCTACGACATGCTGTCGTGCACAAATATATCGTGATGAAGCGACCGAGGAGGTACAGCATTAACGATATTATAATTGCATGAAACCCCTTTTCGCACCAAAACCAAGGGTCAAAAAAAATCACATTAGCTATATTTCATTAGTCCCACCTTCGGGGAACGAGTTGATTGGACAACTGAGCTTAAATCTGCTTATTCGATAGAACTCGCTGCACAAGACAAGAGCTGAAATCGCTCCCCTCGTTTTCTCTTTTCTATCCTTTCCAAAATTGGCGGGATTTGTTGGAATATCGGGTTTCGCTTAACTCTCTGCATGGACTAGCCTCTTGGACACTCCCACGTACGTAGTAGGTATAAAGCTCTCAGCACTCTCATACTACGTCGAATCAATCACCTCCTACACTCTTGATTCTATCAGGTATAACTCTAAATATTAAGCGAGAGCCAACTTTCTACCCTTCCTGCTTTACCTAACTTTATCAGACAGTGATATGGAATAGAACCGTCTTATGATTAAGAGCTATTCGTATTTATTACAAGGGTTACAATTTTTATTTATTCTTTAAGGCTTATGATTGTAAAAATTTCACGCACTCAGATAGACGAGTTTTGGTGTGAAATAAGCATTTATGCATTACTTGTTCTAGGGTACTGTACAAACGCCCCCTCCTCACTAAGCAATCATTGGGAGTCTTCGAGGACAGGACCGGTATGGATCACAGTCCATAGCATTCGAAGGCACAAATAGGCTTTCCTCTTCTTCGTCGTGTATTCGTAAATTATTTCGCATAGGTCGCTGCGTTGATATGGTCATCAATTATCGATCATCACTTCTTGCCTCTTCCTCCAAAATCGCCGCACTGATCTGTAACACACCTGTCCCTAAGGTCTCTCCACTAGCATCCCGACCTTCCAATCATTTACTCAACGTCAAAGACTGGATAGGTGCCACCCTCACGGCTTGATCAGTCAACCGGCTCTCCCACTCTTCCTCATACGGGATCAATGCTTTCCACTCCTCCTGCGTCAACTCGTCGAACTTCGACGTCCGTGGCTGCTCTCTCATCGTAACCCCCCGCAGGAAGACGGCACGATTACTTTTCTTCCACGGGCTGCTCCAGAACCCATTCGCGAACGGCGTATCGACACCAACTTCAACGGTCAGGGGGCCAGCTGGCACCTGCAGCGTGAGTTCCCCGCCAATGGTGTCCTTCCTGCCCTCAACCGTGGGCAGCCCATATATTTCCCTCGGCGCAAACTTGATGACACCCGGTCTCGCCTCGGGCGAAGTGGCGGATGGGTATATTGAGAATTTGATTTTGATTTTTGAAGCGAAAGGCGCGCTCTCCGCTTCGGAGGGACAACGAGAAGACGATCGGGGATGCGGGTCGAGAGACCATTCCGATGACACCGGCGCTGGAGAGAAACGGTGCGATTTCCTGCCGCACTATTTCCAACATGTGCGACGATGGCTCGATGTATGAGTACGGCGCGGTACCAGATTTGTATTTCTGGGTTGAGTTTTCATCGATGCTGCTGGCCAGTTCGAAGGCAGCTTTGGCTGGTCGGTAGGTTGCGAGAATCGCGTCACCGTTGAGAGCTGCTTCTGATTCTGACATTGTATAGTATAGAAATTTTTCAGATATGTTGGTTGATTGATTGTTTTGTCGGATGCTGCAATGAATTTTGGATTTGGGTGTTTGAAGATGTACAATGCCGGCGAAGGAGCAAAATTGCTTTTATAGATCCAGACGCAGGCGGGTACGCAGTGATACAGAAGTTAGGCGGAGCGGATGATGGCACGAATGACTGGTAGCCCAAGCCTTGAGCAGAAAGGCTTACCTGTACATGTACCTAGCAGCAGCTGTGCCTGCGATAGTCGAGTGTTCTTACACCCCACCATTGCAAGCATTCGACTCGAGACTCGACCAGAATTCGCTTACAATATATATCCCGGGCTTCAGATTCCTTATCTCAAGGAAGAATAAGGAAGTTGAGGATCTGCTGTGATACCCGTGTCCCACTTATCCACTCCCCGAGACTCTCTCCAAGACCCTTCGCGGCCCTGAAGTATGCGTCCGTCCGACGCAGGCTCCTGCTCACTGAGCTCAATGACTCTCCCAGACAAGACTCTAGCCGAATGCTTGCTGAAGCGTGCTTTACTTTGGCCTGAGTGACTCGCCATAAACACAGGGAAGATCTTGAGCAGAAGCGGACGTAGCGTCGGCGCGCATGCACAGATCAGCCCGACGCAAACCTCCACGATCGTCCATATATCGAATTCGGCAACGAACCAGGTCAAGTCATGGTTGGTGTTGCTCACTCGGCCGATGGCTGAAGCGCGTGCGATGGAGGCCACAGTGACCAGGATTCCTAGACTGAGCACAGCCATGAGAGAGTATCTCTGGCCTCGAGGAAGCTGCAGCTTCCAGATGACAGGAAGGACCATCACGATGATCCACACGTCCGTTATGGTGTGGCAAATCGTCGATGTGACAAGGATAGTCCGTAGACTGGTACACTTTACGTTGGGGCCAAAGTAAGAGCGGCCTCCGATGGATTGGCACGATAGAATGTCCGCAATCAGAAGGGCTGTGCTGTATGCAATCACGATTGCAATTGTCGTCCAGCACCTGCAAGATGTCCGTATCAGCACTTTTCTGCAGAATATGGGGTTTTTTTTTATTTTTAGAATGGATTGGAGAGTTCAAACTCTTTAGAGGAATTTGACGCACATTATTCTCTCCCGTTTACCAGGAAAGACGCGGAGGTAGAAGACTAGAATTGACAGTTTGGTGAAAGCAAGTGCCAACTGATAGAAGATGAGCGTGACGTAGACGATGGTGAAGGATACCTTCAGCAGCTCGAAAGGTACATTCTTCATGTGGTAGCCGTGGCCATATTTCGTAGCAACACCATACAAGATGGTTATAGGTACCGCGTTGATCCAGGCGATCACTATCAGACTGTCGTCCAAACTCCATAATTTGAGAATCCTCACACGGGTATGGATTCGTCCTGCGATGAAGAATAAGGCCAATATCTGGGGTATTATGATGCCGGCAAGAAGCTCGGGCACTCTGCATTCTCCTGGGATCTGCGAGGTACCATTAGTTGAAGCTTCTGAACTGTTTTCGTATAGCATGTCACTTACAGATTCAACTCTACGGAGAATCATTGTGTCGGATTTCTGGGGGCAAGATTATCGCTACCTGTAGCATCTTCAAAGCCTGCGAACCGTTATCCTGCCAGGGCACTGCATATGATATACATTGCTTCCATTTGGATCCGCAGTGTGAAGTTTCAGAATTCTTCTTCGACTGGGGATACCTCGCCATTACCTAGGGTGAGGCTTAAACCTTGAAGTAAATAGCCAAGTTCAGCGTGTTCAAGGGGCGTTGATTCATGTTGCCAGGCATTCGCGGGCGGCGGAAGATTCCATGCCGTGCCTCTGGCGGAGAACTGCTTGTCTGGCGCTGAATAGAGCGATCAAAGTGTGACAATAGCTCATGTTTGCCGTGGCATGAAAATTTTAGTATTATCAGGCCAATACCGGGCTCCGTCGTAGTACCAATGGGATGTGGACGGCCAGCCTGATGGGTACCGCTCAGCATTACTCTGTCGAGAAGCGAAACACTACGTGACAAATGAACACGAAGATAAGGACTGAAGTGCATTATCGAGTTTCGTTAGCACGGCAAATGTTCATTGATATAAGGTGGATCCTTGCAATCTCCCGATGGATAACATGCCCTTCCCGGCTTACAAAAGAAGGGAATGTCGTGATGCTTGATACCATAAGATTTCCAAGACTGATCGACAAAGGTATAATATAATATCTTCCGCAAGACCTTTCGTGTAAATTGGCCGAAGAATGTTCTAATCGAATCTTGGCCGGTGCTTCTGATGTCCGTTAAGTCCATCGGAAATAACTAATCGGCTTCAGCTCTCCGCAGCTACACCGGCAACGATGCTCAAGCGTTGCTAGAGAACCTTCCTGGTACCGCGCGTTTCAGAAATTAGGATCTCTGGAGACGGCCGACTGATACCGGTACTCGTCACACTTTTAAGGTTTGGTCCTGCAGGGACAGCCGAAGCTTGCAGAGCGTAATGTCCGAATTCAGATGACTCGCTTACAGACAACAACCCGACCTTCTTATGCGATAGATTTTAACCTAGCCGTGAGCGGCTGTAGCGGTCTGAGCCCCGAACAAAGACTAATAATTGGTCAACGTCTTAGACGCATCATAGCAATTTCTACTCCCGTGAGATGACACGAACCAGTGGAATTCGTAGGGTGCATAAAGACGGGTGGACGGGATCATAGCACAATTCGCGAAGACGCATATCTGGTACAGTTTATATTCTGGGCTCTGGTCTGAATATGGCTGGTGAGTACCGCGTGTGTCGCAAGATTGCTTTTGGATTTTACTTTTTCAGTATCTCGTATAGGGACGATTGAGTCGATAGCTAGCTCGCCTGCAGTGGGTCGTTGTAAATAGATGTCTTCGATTTGGTGGTCTGCGCTCAGCTTCCCTGATTCAGCGACTGGCTCTAGATCCAATCCTGGATCGCAATAGGCGGGAAGATTTGGGGAGTACCCGCACCGTAATGCCGAAATAAAACCCGGTCGGCTCATATAGCATGGGATCGCAGGCCAGTCGGTGTCGCACATATTGCGATCGGGCTACGGCCGTTCATCAAAGAATAAGAAATCGTATCCATGGTGGTGGTCTGTACTACGTAAGTTGAGTAGGGTTCCGGATATTGAGCGGAGGCAACGGGCAATTCGAAGAGACATATACGTAATCACGTGTGCTAAATCTGCACCAAAGCAATCTCTTAGCTTATAATCTCGCTGAGAACTCCTTGAAAAATGTTGATTATATTTACTGAAAAATCTATAGATTTCTGGGTAATAGCTTTGATGGAGCGAGCGAAACAAGGGTCAGCTATAATCACGTGGTAAATAGCCTCCGGCGAGGCGTTCCTGGATGATCCTCACCAGCGGCAAGAATGCTCTTTCCTATACCGATATTATGTTGAGTAATCGTTCCGGAGAACTCGGACGCTGTTACGTGTAAGGGGTCCGAGCAAGAACACCCAAGTCGAGAAATCAGTCCAACTACTTTAAACCTTTAATTGAATCACTCGATCGAACCACTCAATCGAACCACTGAATATGGCCAGTTTACTTACGAATCGGTTGCGCGATTCGAGCTGCGAATCTTACCTACAGATTACGAACTTTCTTAAGCGAGAAAACGGCTACCGAAATACAATTTCTGCAAAAGCCGAGAACGCGATCAGTATCGAAAGGCAAAAGGCGAATTCCAAATAAGAGCGATACGATCGACGTATACGAAGAAAACTGAAAGCTAAGCTACGGATTTAGATTATATAGATCAAGCAAGATAAGAAGCGGATAGCAAAGCGGATCGCGAAGAAAAAAAGCAATAAAATCGATTATACGATGATACCGAGCGATAAAAACGATAAAGAAATACAATAAGAGCTGGAACAAGCTCGACAATAGAATAAAGCCGAAGCCGATATCATTATACACGATATCGATGAGCAACCGTTATAACCGCTATTAATATTTTCGGACGGTAAGAGATTTGAAAGGTGGCAGACGGCCGAGAAGCTTGGGGAGGCATCAGCTGAATTTAAGAAATTGATTACGGAATCGGTCGCAGAATCGGACGAATACGAGAGCTTAGTAGCTGACGATATTGCTCGCTATTTCTCTATGTTACGGCTGGAGAAGAATAGTATTATAGTACTACCTAATCGTACGCTTGGTAATGAGAAAGAAAGACGGGGTAGGAAAGAACTACCGGTATAATACCGTACAGGAGGGCCGAGGTCTTGTAAAGTGGGGCGGAGCGGGCGCTAGCCTCGGCTGACTAATCCTACAATCAACCAATCCCTAGAACCTCGTCAAGGCCTGAGGTCTGCCAATACCGTAACACTCTTGTTGCGCTTTAAATCCGTGATCTTTATTTATTCGGTCGACTCTTTACTTGCTCGACATACCGAAAGCGTAAAACACTTTCGAACTACACCCGAAATATTCGTCGGAAAGTATAAGCTAAATAAATCAAAGGCTTTATAATTACAGCCGAGCAATATAGATTTATAAAAGCTATTACGAAAGTAAAGTGAGGTTGCAGGCGAACAAGAATTAGGATAGAAGCGTTAAATTAAGTTGTATAAAAAAGTCAAGTTCCCGGAAAAAGGTCGAAGACGATTCTTAGCTGTAAAACATTAATTATAAAAATAAACGGGATTTATATTATATTCAATCGTTTGACCGCGAAGTCCGGAAAACTTACTCCGGAGCTTACGAAAGGCTATAAATTTTCGCTTGCGGCCGGGCCAAGCGTTATATTTTCTTTATATTTTTTTAAAGCGTATTTCTCAAAGAAAATTGATGTAGCGTTATTGTGGAAGTCTTCCAAGGGCGGCCTTGCACTACGACCGGGGCGAAGCAAGGTCCTTTGGCCCCGGAGCTTGCGGAAGGCCGCCAGGATCACACCTTGCAAACATATAATTCATGATGCTCTTTGTTCTGATAGATTAGACAGCCAATGAAGACAGAAGAAGTCTTGATTTGCATGTCTTCTACGTAGCATGCATGTCGATTACTAGGTAGGCACTAGGGATACGTATGAGCTGAAGGTGATGTAAAAAAGCAGGTGTTGAATTCGGAGAGATGGCCAGATATTATGACCGTAAATATACACTGTTAACGCATGCTGACTATTTATTTCGGAGAGTGAAGCCCGGCGAATTGAAAGGTTGAAATAAACATCGAGAGGACTCGGATTTAATAGGCGTAAAAGATGCATAATCTTAGATGAGAGATTTCCGTAGAGAGTCGTTACCATGCAATGGCGGGATATCTCAACTGACCAGGCATCTTCTGACACTTCCTCAAGCGCTGGGCCTCGCTGATTATACGTAAAAATATGGAAATAAGATAGAAATCATGGATTGCTGCGTCGTAAAATACCATTAATGTATCATAGTAAGCCTAGTGTTCGCTTTTTCGTGGAAGCAAACACTTAAATCCCAATCAACATCCCTTAAAGACCTATGACTTTCTTCTTATATGACGATAACTTATAACCAAGCAACTTAAAAACCTTGGAAAGCGTCGGCATCAAGGGCAATAAGCAGCAGGAGGTTCTTAACATTCAAGCAGTTTGGCAATTCCCGTAGTCAGGCCAGACTAGGGGCGTGCTTAGCAGCCATCAAGCTGACCACTACGATACTATAGGACCGCAATCAACAGAGGCATGCAAAATTGTAACTTCTTCTGCTCGATATGAGGGCGATTCTTGTCGGTAGAGTTGGGCGACGTCCTATTGGGTTTGCGTCGTTTGCAAGAGTGATCATTGCTAACATGTCCCTGATCGCCACTAGTGCCAGTAAGCTACTCTAGCATGTGTGTGGAAGTGACGATCCTCTAGCCCCTTGTTACTGTATTGAAATGTATAGTCTACATGATAAGTTGCTCTAAGCTTGCGACGCATGTCAGCATTGTCACTCTGTCCTATTCAATGACGCCTTCAACATCTGCCGTAACTTTTTGCCCTACACGACTGAGACTTTGCCATACAACACGCGTGGGAAGGGTCTCGGTGTTCATAATTTCTTAACATAGGCAATCATTCTGACTATAAAGTACGTAATTCCTATCGGCCGTAAGTTACTTGTCGCTGTCTTTTTGTGCTGTGTCGTTCTCAAGCTAATAAGAATCAGTCTATAATACCTAATGATACTTCGCGTATCTCGGGCTGGATATAATAGAGTTGTAAGAAATAGAGATCTGAATTAAACCGGCAGGCTTCATTCTTATGCGTTTGATTTACCTATCACACGTCTTTCTTACAAGATGACAACCAAACGAGCGAAACGAGCGGACTAAGCCAGCTTAGCCCCAGGTATTGTCGCTTAGGAAGACGTCTTGAACCTTATTCGCGTGAAAATTTAACCGAGAGCTTGAAAGCAAGAAATAAGGAGACGAAGAGGGAAAAAGCATTTAGGCTGTAAAGACAAGGAGTATTAAGCTTTGACATGATTACAGATGAAACATTCCGTCCTCGTCGGCAAGGCACATCAAATGATTCAACAAAAGAGATTTGAGGATCTATAAGAAGTGGGAGTTCCTAGGTGCCGAACTTCAGATAATTGAAAGTGAGCGTATTCGTTGGACCTCGCTACGGTTTCGATCTAAGTACAGCACATTTGGAAGCTCGAAGTCGGAGTTCTGCACAGCTTCGAGCTATCTCAAATAGTTTTTGCATTACACTTTGGCTTTCGGTAAGGGATAGAGGAACGTTTGACATGCTTTTAGGCACGGCCTTCATGATGAAGCTGCGGGATCCCACACAGACGTAAATCCGCCTCCCGCGTCAAAGGAGCCCGCAGACCTGGATACCTGACCCAACACTACAGCCCTCAGTGTCCGTGAGGGATTCTATACGGGAGTGGCCAAAATCACCTCCTTACAATTTTACTGTTTGAATGGATGAATGAGTGAGTTCTAAAGAGAAAATTTCATAGATAGTATGAGCAAATGTTTCGATTAGCCTCTCGATTAGATTTGCCAAAGTGTTACATCTTGATCTGAAGAGAAATGATGTATCGTAGGGTGGTCTGGCCTGGAACTTCTTCGAGTATATTAGTAGTAATTTCGACCTAACCGTGCGCCAATAAATTAAGCTGTCGGCAGCTCTTTTTCGCAGCGCGGTTACGGGCTTGGGATAGAGCTTTGATGATGACGTAGGCAACCTTCGAGATGCTTACTTTCGCTTAGCTTCCGTACTGGCGACCCTCGGGTCTCAAATCGCTTCATTCGGTTAGACCCGAAACGACTATCACCAGTTTATACGGTTTATACGTACGGTTTATATTACGGTTTATAAGGTTCATACGGTTTGTAAGGCTCATACGGTTTATACTGTAAGGTTAATCAGGTTAATAAGGTTAATAAGCTTCATACGATATTCAAAAGGGATGGCGACTCCCGCCCTTCGCCCCGATCTCCTTTTCCCAGAGAGACGGATTTGTACAGGCGTACCAATGAAAGTTGTAGCACTTCAACTTCAAAAGTACGCATCAAGAGGTACCGCGGGGTCAATCGCGGTCGCACCGAGCGGAAAATATATCCACCAACCTCGATCACGGGAGGTAAAATATACGCGCACCAACCAGCGGATCAACAACTGCACTGCTGAAGAGGCCTGGGATAAAATTGTACTCGAATCATTTTACGGTAGATCCTTTCCGTTCCGTTTCCATCAATCACCTTTTGCTAATCCAATTAGTCCGGGCAAACCTGTGCCATACCGCACGAGAGCTTAGTGCCGTGGATAGAAAATCTTCCCGTCGGCTTGGTGCTCTTGAAAGCTCTTGGTCTATCCTGAGATTTTTTATATGAGAATCTCCACGCGGCATCCTTCGACGTGGCCATCAGTCTTCTCCAATCATGTTTTCACGACGCAACCTCCAACGCAGCAGCATACTCGCGCTGGGGCTTGCGGCCACTCGCCCTTTCGTGGCCGCCGCTCCATGCGATATTTACGCTTCCGGTGGCACGCCGTGTATCGCCGCTCACAGTACCACTCGGGCTCTGTACAGTGCCTTTTCGGGCTCTTTATATCAGGTGAAGCGCGGCTCCGACAACACGATGAAGAACATCGCCCCGGTCGCCGCTGGCGGGGTGGCCAACGCGGCCGCTCAGGATTCCTTCTGTTCCGGCACCACCTGCCTGATCACCATCATCTACGACCAGTCTGGAAAGGGCAACCATTTGAAGCAGGCTCCGCCAGGAGGCTTCAAAGGCCCGGAATCGAACGGCTACGACAACTTTGCTAGCGCTATTGGCGCGCCAGTCACGCTGAACGGAGCAAAGGCTTACGGAGTCTTCATTTCGCCCGGGACGGGTTACAGTAACAACAATCCAGTGGGGACAGCCACGGGGGATGCCGCAGAGGGGATGTAAGCAATACAGTCTCGTGGTTTCTAGAGAAAGACAAATCGTTAAGTCTCTACAGACATATCGAAGAATGACTGGCTGACTCCGAGAATCTCGCTTGTAGCTATGCGATCTTGGATGGAACGCATTACAACGGTCTGTGCTGTTTCGATTACGGGAATGCCGAACTGAACAGTCACGATACTGGCAACGGCCACATGGTAGGTAGACTTCTCCTATTCTCGTCTTGGAACCCTTCTAAAAAGGAAATTTCTGACTCCCCCGTGTCTTTTCAGGAGGCCATCTACTTTGGCGACAGCACTAGCTGGGGCTCAGGCGCAGGGTCGGGACCATGGATCATGGGCGATCTGGAGAACGGCCTGTTTTCGGGCGCTGGATCTAAAGTTAACGCTGGTGATCCGTCGATCAAATCTCGCTTCGTCACCGCCATCGTCAAAGGGAAGCCGAACCAGTACGTCGAGCGTGCCCAACCCTCCCCTGGATCCAGAATGCAATGCTAACACGTAGACCAAGCTGGGCAATCCGCGGTGGAAATGGAGCCTCGGGGGGCCTCTCCACGCACTACACCGGCGTACGCCCAACGGCGCCGGGCTACAACCCGATGAGCAAAGAAGGGGCCATCGTCCTCGGAATCGGCGGAGACAACAGCGTGGGTGCCCAGGGCACTTTCTACGAAGGGGCGATGACCTCCGGCTACCCCACGGACGCGACAGAGAACTTGGTGCAGGCTGACATCGTGGCTGCCAATTACGCCGTCACATCTCTGGTCAGCGGCCCGGCCTTCACCGTGGGAGACTCGGTCTCGCTCCGGGTCACCACCGCGGGATACGAGACGCGGTATCTCGCCCACACCGGGACGGCCGTCAACACCCAGGTCGTCACCTCGGCCAGCGCGACCCTGCTCAAGCAGCAGGCCTCGTGGACGGTCCGGAAGGGCCTGGGCAACAGCGGCTGCTACTCGTTCGAGTCCCGGGATACGGCCGGCAGCTTCCTCCGGCACAGCAACTTCGTGCTCCTGGTCAACGCGAAAGACAGCACCAAGAGCTTCAAAGAGGACGCCACCTTCTGTCCCCAGTCGGGCCTGGGGGGGTCGGGAAGCTCCATCCGCTCCTGGAACTATCCCACCCGCTACTTCCGCCACTATGAGAATGCGGGCTACATGGGCACCAATGGGGGGATTCACTCGTTCGATGCTGCGAACTCTTTCAACGCTGACGCGACCTTCGTGCCGATCAAGGGCTGGGCCTGAGTGAAGCCAAGGCTTTCTTTCTTTCTTCCTTTCTTCCTTTCTTGTGCCGATCAATCTTTGTATATACATTTATACTTTTCCCATTGATGAAATACTTTGGGGTAGTCAAGGTATGGGAGTATGTAATAACCCTGCCATGGAAATAACACCTCTTTACGACCTATCATTCCCAACATCTATCGAGTCGGCCCCGGTTCGGCCATAGCCTCCCTCACGTGCAGAAATAGCTAGCTCACTTGACCTTGAGAATCTGATCCGGGCCGCCCACAAACCGCCTCTTCGCAACGCTGACCATACCGGAAGTATACTGATCGATATCCAAGAACACCCACCCCTCTCATGAAACCTCCCTCACCCTTGCTCATCTCTCTGCCATCCTCTATCCTTCATCATCTCATCGAAAACCCCATCCCCCTCCTTGCTTCTTCTTAACGCAAAATAGAAGTAAACCCAAAACTTATCGACGATCAAATCTGGAATCTAGACGGACATGTATATATATATATGTATGTATATATAATGCGTACAAAGAGAAAGGAAAGGGAAGAAAAAAGAGAGATTCGCTCGGTCCATCTTGATCCTGATCCTCGAAACCGCCCCCCCCCCCCAAAAAAAAGGGGGAAAGAAAGACGAAAGAGAGGCAGCTTTCAGCAGACAAGATCAGAATCGCAAAATATATTCACAACTTACGGGCTCGCCCTTGGATAGGGTGCAGATTCCACTCGAGGGGAGAGAACACAGAAACAGAATAGGATAGAATAAGGCAAGAAATGGGGAAAGGGCGGGAAAGGGGAAGAAGGGGAAGAGAGGTAGGTTAGTTCTAAGCGAGCGGTAGGCTAAGCTAAGCTAAGCTAAACTAAGCTAAGCTGATCGATAGGTAGGTATTACAGTCACCTACTACCTCTTAACTGCTAATGCATACATAAAAACTATTTATATATATATTTATTTATTTGTTTATTTATATACCGGTACTACTATCTCGCACCAAAACTCTTGACAAGTGACAGCTCCAACTCCCTCCAACTATAAGCTTGGAAAGGGAAGCAAGAATCATTGAAGCCTGTTACTTGATCGTAAGAAATAGCTTATGAGTAGAGGAGGGATTTTATCTCCGATGATTTGTTTAACGGAGCTGATTAGAGCGGGGAAAAAAAAAGAAGAAGAAGAAGAAAAGAATGAGAAAGATGGCTTCCGCTTCACTTAAGAAGAAGTCTTGGGCCCAAAAAAAAAAAAAAAAAAGCGACGTCGAGCTTCTATCTTTTGCATCTCGGACGCTTTGAAGGAAGAGGCTTGCTTCTCTTACCTGAGGAGCGTACGGAGTACACGATAGGATCTGTATCCACCTACCACACTACACCCAAATCTAACCAGCTGAAGCTGGGATCTCGAGATATGATAACTACGACCTACTCTACAAGTTGGTCATATCAGAGAAGAATGATATACTACGCATGTTAGAATCCTCCGTGCTATTCCCCTTTCAGGTATGCTACGCGTCAAAAGTAAGAATGGTTTTCATGCTACGTAAGGTGGCAGTCAAGTTAAGGCGTCGAGGCATGCGGGAACACGGTTCTACGACTACAATGTTCGAGGCATTGGAGTTGATTGAAGCGACCTCTGCGTAGAAAAAGGTCTGAAGCCGTACAGGGCTACCCTATTTAGTGAAAGAGAATTACTTTGTCAAGCAGAGTTCAATAGATAAACTCTATATAATAACTTATGATCGGTGTCCATCCTTCCAAGTATTGCTAAATGTTGCTTTATAGTACTAGTACTTACAGTAAAGGAGTAAAATTCGGATCAAACGGCATTTCTACTTTACCTGACCTATCTTTACTGCTTGGCCGAGCTCTTAGACTTCGCCAAAATGCTGTCTTCGAAGCCACTCCGTACGACTTTATCGAAACCTTTCTTACGAAGGAAGTAGTTGGATAGAATCAACTTCTCTTTCGCACCCCAATTGGAATCGGGTCCGATCCTTAGTAGGGCATCGTCAAGATCACGAGTATAATGCCGTAGTTGGGCCATCTTGGGGCCTCCATTCGGACACCTCGAACCCCAGATGAACGCCTGCATATCAGTTTCTTTCGCTCTCTCCCTTCATTTCCACCTAGCTTCGACCATTGACGATCGGTAAGATACTTAAGTAGAGACACAGCCACAGCCCCCCAAAGCTTGACTATCAATAAATCATCCGTAAGCGAATGCATGCGTTTCACCGAGGGGATGTCTGCAAAGAGACTAGAAATGGCCAACGGCTCTCTTGAGTCACGACCGAAAAAAATATTTTCCCCACCGGGAGATCTCTCCTTCTCCGTCCGCGGAGATGATGACGCCGATTCATCGACTACCCTGAGATGGGAATTGCATCCTGAGACACACAGGCGAGGATACCACTAACAACGGTGGAACGGAGCAACGGAAGCCCACCTATCTTGCCGCCTCTACGCCTTTTTAGCTCACCAGGAAGGGAACTTTTCGCTCCTGACACTCCTGGTCACATACAGCTTTCTTCTCCTCGCCGATATCGTGGGGTCCAGGAATCGAGTCACATGGGAGGTCACGCCTACCAGCTACGCCGATCACCACTGCTGTCCTTCTCCATACCTCGGCGAACACTGCTCAATCCCTCATACACATTTCCGCTCACGCGCCCCTGTCCCGTACGTCCGGCATCCGTTACCCGTTGAACAGTAGCACAGCAGGAACAGGGCAGGATGACGCCCGGTAGAAGTTTCCATGCGGAAACCCGTGACTCTTGTGACCTGTGGAGGCGGATGGCTGCGTGAGAGTTGATGTTGCTATAGAGATAGCGACGGGAGAAGGTGAGTGGAAGGTTCCGAGTATTGGATGGTGTTCACAACAAGGGGTCCGAAAGCGTGAATTGTGTGCGTAGAGATTGAGGAATTGGAATTGGCCAAAGTGGACGACAGGATAGCTCTGGACGTGGCGAAGGTGATAGATGTGACCACCGTGGCGACAATTCCGAGTGAGACCCGCTGATTTTGTGAAACTAGTATGCCTTGAACGGTAGTGCCTGCATGTTGCTCCCATGTGAGGTGGTGAGGTGAGGTGAGTTGGAGTTGAGACTTACAAGTAAGTTGAGTCTGTCTGTCTGTCTGTCTCTGTCTCGAGATCCACAGACGCCGTCAGCCGATGGTATGGCCAGATCCCATCACATCTCGCCCCCTCTCATCTCGAATCGCGCCCGTCTCCCGCGAGAGCGTACAGCAATGAACAACCTCGCCGACCCGAGTCAATCTAGTGAGAATAGGTAGGTACTTGAGCCATCCCATTTCTCATAGGGTGACCGCCCCTCGCGGGCCCTCGCATCATCTTCCATTCCACCCAGTTCGTCCTACGATCACAACAGCTGCTGCTGCCACCAGCTCGTATCGCACAACAGGGTGTGATCCCATTCCTAGCCCAGAAGTCCGTTTTTTTTTTTTTTTTTTTTTTTTTTTTCATTTTAATTTTTTTTTCCATCCCAAATCTATTCGGTAGGACTGGCCGGCATGGCAGCTTTGTGTTGTGTACTGTGCAACGCGGATTAGTGGTAGGAGGGTGGGTGCGAGCTGCAAAGATGCCTGCTGTCGTGGGATGTCGTGGGATAGAAGGAGAGGCCATGCGTTACGGTTTTCGCTGGAGCGGGCCAGGGGTGGGTATAGAGATGCGGGGGGTCTGTCGATATTCAGGATCTGATCGAAGAGACGAGACGAACTGGGTTCTCGGGATTCGACAGAGCAAGGGGACGGGATTGATGAGATTGATGAGATTGAGATTGAGAGAGTGTGAGTGTGAGAGTGAGAGTGATACTTTTACGGACCGGGCCAAAGGACATCTCATGATTCTCATCCCCATCCATCCCGTCGCATGTTTGGAGAGCAAGGGCTGTTCTGCACGCATGTAAAGGCACATCGTACACCAGAACACCAGAACTCTAGAACTCCAGAAC